TTCTGTGATGGCAAAGCTGAATTTCCAGCAGCCATTACTCCAGTTTTAAGAAACATTTCCTATCATCCTCAGTGTGGAAAACAGTTGTGCTGCTTAAAGGGGTCATATGATGCGATTTAAATTTTTCCTTTCTGTTTGGAGTGTTACAAGCTCTTGGTGCATAAAGAAGATCTGTAAAGTTGCAAAGACTAAAGTCTCAAATCCAAAGAGATTTGCCACTGACGATTCAAATGCGAGTTTTGAGCAGTGTAGAGTAGGGCTTGTTGTTTGTCATTTCTCCGATCACAAATGCAGACATGGTTTTATGTTTACGCGTAAAAAGACAGTATAAGTCATTATAATCCATAATTACGTCCCCACTGGATGCAACAAATGCCTCGTTTATAATGGGTTTTAATGTTTTTGTTTCGTCGCTCCGGCCGGACAGGGCATCACAATATGGTAAGCGGCATAACATTTCCGTCACACGCTTGAGGTATTTGGCCAATCACAACACACTGGATAGCTGGCCAATCAGAGCACACCTCGCTTTTCAGACCGATGAGCTTTGTAAAAATCGACGCGTTTCAAAAAGGCGGGGCATAGAGGAGAAACAATAATGTACAGTATGTGGAAAATAATGTGTAATATGTTTTTTTAACCTTAAAACGCATAAACCCATTTCATTACACCAAATGCACAAAATAATGTTCTTTTTAGCAACATCATATGACCCCTTTAATATTTTTCTGGAAAACGTATCACGGGTTCCAGAAAAATGAATATAAAGTTTAAAAGAACAGCATTTATTTGAAATAGAAATTATTTGTAACATTATAAATGTTTTTACTGGCACTTTTAATCAATTAAATGCATCCTTGCTGAATAAAGTATTAATTTCTTATACTTTTGAACTGTAGATAAAGGCTCTCTTTAGCACAGATCTGTACTTACAAAATGTTTATAATGGTTCTTCTGCAGGTCTGTGGACATGAACTGATGGCCCATAAGGCTGTGCTGGCCTGCTGTAGTCCTTATCTATTTGAGATTTTCAACACTGACTCTGAGCCACATGGTGGGGTTTCGCTGGTAAAATTTGATGACCTCAACCCTGATGCTGTGGAAACCTTGCTTAACTATGCCTACACAGCCCAGTACATATAGTTATCTTTACTCTTAACTTTTTTTTTTCTTTTCTTTTTTTACGTATACTTATCTTTACACATTGATTATTTCAAGGACATACAGGTTTCATATATTCTCATAATCTCCTGTTAACAGACTGAAGGCAGATAAAGATCTGGTTAGAGATGTGTATTCTGCAGCAAAGAAGCTCAAATTGGAGAGAGTCAAACAGGTATGTACAGGCATTTACATGGTAGTTCTCTCATGTATACACTACTGTACAGTGCCCTGATCTCCTGAATCCTGTTTGCAGATCTGTGGAGACTACCTACTATCAAAAATTGACTCGCAAAGTGCCATTTCATACCGCAACTTTGCTAGTAGCGTGGCTGATGGGCGGCTTCTGGGCAAGATTGATGCTTTTATACAGGACCATCTTCAGGAGATTTCAGAACAGGATGACTTCCTTAAACTTCCTCGACTGAAAGTATATAAATAAATAAATAAATAAATGGACTTCCTTAGACTGAAAGTATATAAATAAATAAATATATATATATATATATATATATATAATATAATATATATAATATAATTAATATATAACTTTATATATAAATAAGTACTATGAATGCACGGGCCTAAAACATTATATCTGAAGACGTCTAAAAAGTTTATCTCATTATCCCTGAGAGACAATATGGAAAATGAATCCATTGTAGAGATTTAGAATAGTATAACTTGTGCAATGAGTTGATTAAAAGCAGGATTGAGTGACCAGAAATAAAACAAACTTTAATTCAACAGCTATCTTAAGGTTGTTTGAGAAATTTTCATTCACGATTACTAGATTATTTTGAACCCTGCATGTAAATATAGAAGAAATACTAAGATTGAAGTCTGAAACTATAATAAAAAGATTATATAAGAAATATTATTACATAATAGAAAAGTATTTGTAGTATTCTTAGATAAGCATAGGTAGTGCATTGCTGCTTGCTCTTTTCTTGCAACGAAGAACTGCTTTACTAAAAATAGAATGGAAGAGATGCTGTTGTCAATCAGTGAGATTTTTAGCATTGAGACACCATTGACAAACATGGTTGAACATAAAGAGCAGATTGCTCAAACACACTTGGAATTAGAATTAATAAAAGTTCTCTTGAGTGTTCAAATTACAGAAGGTTTCTGGAACGGTGCCTTGAAGAATGGAAGAGACGAGAGGAGAAAAAGCAAAGACACGGCAGCACAGAGAAGGAGAGAGAGTGGCTGAAAGGCATTCAGCCCCCCCAACAATGAAAGTTGACACTTCTGAGAAATCGCTACAGGAACAAGACTGACTTGATACAGGAAAAGGTGAAACTTTCACTTGAGACTTTTCCTGAAAACAAAGAAAGCATCAGGAGATGTAAAATCGTGGTAGGAATCAACAAAAA